TTTGTAAATATTTAGATGAAACCCGCCATTGCAACAGCCGCAAATGACGGAGAGACCGACGTCATGGAAACAACAGTCATTCTAAGTGGTCGTTCCTCTTCATGCGAGGACAACGGAACGACAGTTCATCAACACACCAGCGGCGGGGGCACCACTGCAGCATGTGATGACGTGTTGGCCACTATTCAAATGGAAACTGAGAAGATGCTGGCTAATGTGGATGACAACGAAAGCGGTGCACGAGGGAACAGTGGTCACACAGAGAAGGTGGGTGGAGAGAGAGAGGACGAAGATGTTGGCAACGAGGGTCCTCACAGTGGATGCATTGTCAAAGATGCAAATGTGACAAAGACGATGGCAGGAGATAGATACCCGTACGATGTGAACTGGGTGCCTGGTCGTGTTCAGCCTGGTATCGTTGGAGGTGTGGATTGCTTTGCTTTCAAGGTTGGTGATGAGTGGGTTGCTTTTCCTCCCCCAATGAATGAAACATGACGTAACGTATGTCTGTTATTTATCTATGACAGAGTGTTGAGGTTAAATGACGGGGCAACGACCCAAGATGCTTGCCGACACGCATTGGACATGTATCGTGTTCTAGAGGTAAAGGGTGAGTTGCGCCTCAATGATTTCCTATATGACAACGTTGACTGCGGTCGGCTGTGAAAGTTGGGTGGCCAGCAAGGCAGGAGGAGAACGCCAGTCGCCCAGGATGATGCAAGGAGGGATTCTCGATGGGGTTGGGTGCCATCTGCAGTCCCATTTGGATATGGCCGTGTCAAGATGCAAGTGCGTGATATCATGGGCAATGTGTGGAGCGCGCATTACGTGAATGGCATGTTTTCGTTCCGTCATTTCGACAGAGAAGCAACTGCAGAGGAAAAGGAAGCGATGAGATGCAGGCCACGCGATGCACGCATTTATGACCCGCCACTCGGCAATCCTGTCGAGTTGGCCCTCGCTGAAGGGAAGGTGTTTACTGGTGAGAAGCGCATCACATACGTCCACGTTATGGGGAAAGAAACCACATTTGATGGCATCTGTATGGACGTATGAGACCATACAACAATGCGGAAGGATGTCGTCGCAGTCAGTAACATTGCGGCGCATGTGATTCAAGAAGGGCAGTTGTACCAGCATGTGGCCCATGACATGTACGGGTACCATGTCAACTGGGTACCTGGCTCTTTGCATCCAGTAGTTGTTGATGGCAAAGTGACACTGGCAGCAAGGATGCAATCCGGTGAGTGGCTGCCTTTAGGTTGGATGCATGCTGGCGTTGTGGAGCATTGGCAGTTCTTGGTGGTGGTGACACGTGTTTCTGTTTGCAATCCTCATGTGAGGGACCGGCGATTGCTGGAGGAACACGCTCAACGTTGTTGGGAGAAGATAAGGGAGGAAGATCGGCAGATGATGTGCATGGGATATGACAACCACAATGATCGGGCGATGTGGTTCATTGTGGAAGACGCGTGCCTCGACCAACCACGGCCCTCGACGAATAACTTGTTGCTGGAGGGCATTTGACGCAGATACGGGTGCACATCACTACTTGGGTGGGTCCCTGTCGTCTGTCCCATGACATATGAGCATGGGGAACAGATGTGCATGAGATTGAGAGACCCTCTGGGTGTCCCTTTCCAGCTCACGTTCATGGATGGACTGCTGCGACACATTCAGTACGCGGGTGATGACGACGGTCGTGCTGCAATCAACCCTCAACAAACAGCACAACAGCAGCAGGACATTTCACATTTCTCCTCTGAGGTCGACGCCCCGGAAACGACACATGATGGGGGATGTTCTCACGCACAGCCCGACGACGGTGACACCCCTGTGGAGCATGTGACAGGGAGGGAAGAGAAGAAGAAGAAGCAGTGCACGTCCAGACCGCCTCGTCATCCCAGGAGTCCCACAAAAGCAAAAGGCAAAGAAAAGGTTGTCCCACGTAGAGGCGAAACTCCCAAAGCAGCCGCTGCCCCAGCTCCTAAGCGCAGGCGCCGCCCGGGGATGGCAGCATTGGCAGAGATTCGGCAACTCCAACGATCTACTAACTTGTACATCGCTTTGAGGCCGTTTATGAGGGTAGTGGGCGAGATCGTCGAAACAGATATCGCACTGGGGGAGTCTATGAGGTTTCAGATGAGCGCCATACGTGCGTTGATGGAAGCGGCGGAAGCATATCTCATCAACCATTTCGAGAAAACGAACATCATTGCTATCCACTGCAAGAGGGTGACGATCCAGCTGAAGGACCTGAGGCTGGTTGATAACTTGTCCAAGGCTCGCTGGGAATACAGATACCAAGGCATTACCGACGAGCAGAAGAGAGCAGAAAAGCTACGGCAGATGAATGCTGCAAGGCAAGAGGAGAGAGATGCGCGGGCGGGGAAGGGGCTGTCAGGGAAGACAGACCGCGCCACGTGACTTGCATTTACTTGCTGTTATCTGCGGCCTGCGGCATGACACAGGGGCTGTACTGTAGTAGTGCAGATTCGTTGTTTTGTTTGTGTATGGGCCTGACCGTTGACTAAGTTTGTTGGGACTGACCGCACGCCCCATATGCAATTCTGAATATTGCTGGGCCAGTACCAACCGCTCTTGTGCATACGACCTCACTGTCGAATTGACAGCCCCAGGCTATTCGGAAAGCCAGCGGTGTCAACCGCTATTCTGTGGGATGAGCCCGTAGCCGGGTAAGGTTCAGGCCAAAACTGGGCAAGTTGAGTCAGTGCCGTTGGTATAGGTGGTAGTGCAGACTAGGGCAGGCGTATGTAAAGTGTAGATGCATGCTGGGGGATCTTTCTGCCCAATTCATACTTCGTGGTGTGAGTTCCTATGCACAACGTTTGCTGCACGAGTCTGGGCCCGACACACAACCGCTATTGTGTTGTGTGCTGCATGAGCTGCGTACTGGCGATCCTGCAAGAGTTGTTATGTGCTGCATGAGCTGCTGTGAGCCGTGTGCTGTGTGGTATTTGAGCTGCTGTGTGCTGTGCGGTGTGTGTTGTGTGCTGCACGAGCTGCTGCGTGGTGTGTGCTGTGTGTTGCATGAGCTGCTGTGTGTTGTGTGTTGTGTGTTGTGTGCTGWGAGTTGTGTGGTGTGTGCTGTGTGTGCTGTGTGTCACCTGCTGTGTGCGGTGTGCTGCATGAGCTGAGTAGTGGCAGTCCTCCTGTGTGCTGCATGAGTCTGGGGCCAGCAGCGGTCTGGCCTATCACAGGATTGATAGTGGAGACCGTGCGGTAAGCCTCAAACCTTCGTCAAGTTTAGGGTGGAGTTGGCGAGGTGCAGCCATAGCTGCTTGTTCTCAGAGAGTTCATCATGTGAGCTTCATCGACGTCAGAGACTGTTAGTGCTGTGCTTCTTCTGCGTCCTCAGTGTTTGACTGTTTCGTCGTCCCGCTGGTCTGTCTCTCTCTTGTTTTTGTAGCGTTGGTGTCTGATTTATTTATCAGGTGCTGGCTGATATTGTATGCTCTGCTCACCGCTTGTGTGTATGCTGTTGAGGTGGCGCTGATGTGAAGTCGCCACTTCGGTGAGTTCGATGGGAGTTTGTGCTGCGCTGTTAAGTGCTTGAGGTCAGGGGACTTTAACACTCTTTGTTATAATGATTTGGAAATATATGGCAGGCCACAACTGTGTTCTCTTCTTCTTTATCCTTGTGTATGGTGTGAAGACTTGTGCTCATTCAGGGGGTTGACGATGCGTGCTGTGAACACACTTGCGTCTAATGATGTGAATACTTCTGCAATTGTGAGGTACACAGCAAAGACAATATATGAAGAGGACTTGTTCACAGACATCTTCTCGTTTTGTGCACTGTGATGGTGGTGATGTCATTGTGTACAATGCGATACTGCGACATGTGTGACAATGCATGGTGACACACACTGACAAACACATAAACAAATTATGTGTGAGTGAGAGCTGGCAAATTGCAGCTGACAATTATGTGTATAACACATCAATGACCGAGAGTATGTGTCTGTCGTTTAGTATGTGGGCGTGTGTATGACACATTGTTCACTAATCCTGTGTTGAACCACCGAAGCAGAATTATCAAACCAAAATCTGCATCTTCTGAAGCATTCAATCTACAGTGTACGCCGTTGCATTCGTCGACAAAGGTATGGTTGCCTGTGTACCTTGAAACTCAAGCCTGCTCTCCCTCTGTTTGTTTTCTTCTCCCTACAACATGTGCACTCTCTTCGTCCTATATCCCATGTCCTGCTCTCCCTCTGTTTGATTTCGTTTTATGACTACAGCATGCACACTCTTGACGTCTGCGGTGGTGAAGGGAAGTGACTATCATACTTCCCGTCTTTGTGACATTCCGTGACTTAATGTGACACACGGGCATGTCGAGGCACACGGACATACATAAACACACTTCCTGACTATGTCCGTGTCTGTCTCTGTGTGCGTCTGTGTGTGTCTTTCCTGCATGTCTGACTGTGTCTGTGTGTCCGTGTCCCCCTGTCTGTGTTTGTTCCTGTCTGCGTATGTTTGTGTATATCAGTGTACGTCTGTGTATGTCCGTGTATGTCCGTGTATGTGTATGTCTGTATGTCCGTGTATGTGTATGTCCGTATGTACGTGTGTCCGTTTGACACAGGCGGACACACGGACATACACAGACACGGACATACGGACATACACATACACGGATATACACAGACATGCACTCCCAGGACACAGACGTACGCAGACAGGAACAAACACATACACGGAGACACAGACACACAGAGACAGACAGACACGGACACAGACACACACAGACACAGAGAGGGACACAGACAAAGACACGGACACACAAATAGATACACACACACACACAGACACGGACATGTCCAAGTTGACTACTGCGTGCCGGATTCGTTTCGATGTCATTGAATCGAAGAAATTATGGCACCCAGTAGCCAACCCTCGTATGCGGACAGAGACGCACACGGATACACCGACAGACGCGGACACACAGACATACGGACACACAGACAGACACAGACACAGACAGACACAGAGACAAAAACAAAGACAGACACGGACACAGACATACAGAGACAGATGGTGACACAGACACAGACATAGACGGATACACAGACATAGACAGACACACAGACAGACATACACAGACATACTCAGACATACACAGACATACACAGACACGGACACAGACATACGGAGACACCTACAGACACATTCACAGACACAGACGGATACACAAACATAGACGGATATACACAGACATCGACAGGTATACACAGACATACACGGACATACACAAACATACACAGACATACACAGACATTCACAGACATACACACAGAGACATACACACGCAGACATACGCAGACATACACAGACACACACAGACATACACACACATACACACACAGACATACAC